CCCCAAAACCCCAAAACCCCAAAACCCCTTTGTCACAAAATCTTAAATTCTCAATAAATAGAATATTGAGATTTATTTAAAAATGTATTATGGCATTAAATATTCAAATTATTTTCTCAAAAGCTATTTAAAATCTCTTTCAAATATTAAACATATCAAATTGATATTATAGGATCTCCTTCTTATTTTAGTGAAAACATTGTAGCAATTGTACTTTCAATTTCATAACTAGAGTCATTTCTATTAGTTTCATTTTTTGGTTTCAGTCTTTTTAATTCTTCTTTAATGAAAAACGTGCATATTACGCTAATTACGCAAGTCATCACAAATATTCCCATCACAATCAACGGTCCTTTTTCCCCATCTTAATAACAAATGTAAGAAGCAAAAGCACCCTATAATAAATCAATTAGATCTTGCTTACCATAATAGTTCCATAAATCTAGCAAATCATACTCATCATTCCATTTGACACAGATTCAGGGACAGGAAACGTCAACTCTACAGAGAAAGCAAAGCCAATGGGAATTATTGGAGTAATAAAGAATCCAGCAAAAGCTAGGTTAGCCGAATGAAGAAGAACGTTAGAAGTAGGAAGGGTCCAAAAAATCAGTGACAAAGAAATACATGCACCAATCGTCATGATGTTTGTAATGAGTTTGTACTTTGCATATTTATCAAGTATAATTCCAAAAACTAAAGTTCCAATTAAACCAAAGATAGTGAAAATCACACCAAATATACTATTATCTATTGGCTTGTAGCCAAAAGGCTTAGTAATCGAACTGACAACAGCTCCAAAGGTGGTGTATAACCCATGCATGAATATAAATGTGCAACTAAGCAGTAAATAACTCTTATTAGCCAAAATTATTCTCAATTCTTTGCCTAAATTCATTTTAGGCTCCTATCTTATTGATGATAATCTAATTGGTATAAAAATGTTATGAAATTTTACGATGGGGGTAATGCAGGACTATCTCTTGCAATAAACAATATCGGAATGCTCATTACAGTTACAATAATATTCTGATAAAGTACATACTTGTAAAATATTTATTATTTATCTCCTTCCCCTTCAAAGAATAGAGCAGGAGCAACAAATCCCATGATACTTCCCAGAGGAACTGATAGACCTCCAACAGCAGTAGCTAGCGCTCTCTAAAAATAATATTTTTATAGAGATTTATTACTTCTTTGTCACCAAACCAGAGTGTTGCAAGTTTGCTACCACAATTCAGGAAAAAAGCTTAGGCGAATGCGCAGATAATGGTTCCAGGAATCATTAAGTAAAAATTGCCTGAAATTTAAACAAGCAATCTCAGCCAGCATCCTAGAATACTAAGTGATCCTCCAATTTATAACTATTTGCTAAAATTCTAAAATGCTTACGCAAATCTTTAACCCATACTTATTAAGTGCAAAGATAACCAAGAAATTGCCAGGAACAAATACTATTAGAAAGAGAAGACATTGAGCATCAACCAAAATTTTCTTGCATCCAAATGCTTCTGCTATTACAGAGGCAACTGGACTGAATCCAATCATTATGAATCCATCAGAAATGAGGCCCGTCGTATAAAATATTTGAATTAACCATCTCAACGGATGAAGTGAAAATTGTTGCTCTTAATTTTTACTCTTCTCAACATCTATCAGCTGCTTCTAAAGAGGAGATACCTCATCTTCAACAAATGATTGAAGCGATTTAGCTGAAATTCAAAGTCATCAAAAGCTATTATTTACTTTCAGTGTTTTTCATTTAGTATGAAATATAAACTAAAATGGTTTGATAAATTCAAATTTTAATAGTTAATAACTCTTAAGATGAATTATGATTAAAAATAAATAGTAAACATTTATTTTATCAATATACTTATTCGTATATAACTACACTTTGAGGGGTTTTGGGGTTTTGGGG